CGCCTCGAGCAAAATGACATACGTATTCCTTTCCCGGAGGATGAAATAATTTATTAAATAATTTTCAAGAAAAAATTTCCTTGATTTGTACAAACGTTTTCTTATTTAGTTAAATGTATATCAAGACTAAATCTAGAAGATATGTATATTCTTGTTTACTTTCAAATTATATTTTCTTGATAATAAGAATTCGCTTTCTAAGTTCAAACACAAGTCTCGATTTCCTTGTGTCTGATTTGGTTTAAGAAAAATTGTATCTCCATGTATGAAAGCATCTTCGATTGGTTGAGTGCAGTGTTGCCAGATCTTCTTCTCGAAAAACTTTAAATTTCCGAATAAAAATCTGCCTAAAATCGACCTATTCAAAAATTAAGTTTTTATTTTGATTTTTTTATTGAACAAATTCATAAATAACAAAAAACGATAAATTAAAAGAATACCATAAACTGTTTACATTATATTTAACAAAACATAAAAGTTAAAAAAAAAAGTTTTTTTTTTTGTAAATTGCTTTGTTAACTCTTTTGAGCATTTGATTCGGTACCTCAATTTAATGTACCTTCTTGATCAGTGTTTTAAATATATCTTTAGCTCTTAAAATACCAGAGTGCTGGAGTTTCTAGTTTACAAAAAAAAATCGAAAGAGAAACCATACTCTTTATTCAAGAGTCGTGAGTTAATTTTAAAATTTTAGCAAAACATCGCAAACAAATATAGGATTAATTGTTGCTGAAGTATATTTTTGCTTCCGAAAATTTTCCATTAGATTCTAGCTCCTATGAATACGTACAAACTGATTCCGTTATTTCGAGATACCAATAACACCACGCGTCAAAAACAAAAAATCAAAAATGCACGCGAACAATTAATATACCGGCGTCAGGATTTTTTTAAGGACTTTAAAATTTTAAAGATATGATTAATTCAAAAATTATTTTAAAAAATCAGTGAAATGTACAATAACAATAAAGGTACAAAATGTTTCTCATTTCATTCAGCCGAATTGAAAAACCTTAAAGTTTTTTGGTTTACAAGGACAAATAAGTATTGAAAGTTCGCTTTCAGTCAATTTTATTTTTTAAGTTATTAAAGTTAGGACGACAAAATTTGAGGATGTGGTCGTGTGTATATTAGTCCTTAATATATAATTTTTTCAAAAACAAATATTGCAAATTTTCAAGGATATTCAAGGATAAAATTTTAGAAGGAAAGTTTCCATACCCATTCGTCCATATGCAACCAACAATTTTTTTATTTTTTAATTCTGCAGGATTTTCTCTTTTATGAACCCACATTGTTATTCTACATTGCACTGAAATTCTTTAATAATTTTTTTAATTAATCTTATTTTTTTAAATTTCAAAGTCCTTAAAAAATCCTGACGTCAGAGTGAAAAATTAAAAACGAGGTTTTACAATATTTTACCCATATTTTCGCGAATATATTCATTCATTTACTGTCACACGGTGTAACAATTCCAAGTTAATTAATTGATAAAACCTTATTCAACATAGTCGTATTATTGTCATGTGAATATAATTTTTTTGTAAAATCAGACCAAGATAAGACAATTGAGTCATAAATGGGGTTATTTTTTATCCTTTATTATTTGTACATGGCCCATTTCACTCACGACCGACCTTCGCCGAAAACCTAATTAAGTCGGGAGAACGAACGAGAAGATGGACGCATAGACAGACATGGATTAATCGATTTCTATTTTTATTCTGCACATTTTGATACACATATTTTTGACATATCTATGTATATATGTATATCTATTGCAATCTCGTTAGGCTTATAGAAACAACCATTATGTATAAGCTTCCCATTTTTTTGAAAAACTTGTTTGCATTCCGAGCCTTAACGAGAAATATTTGAATTTGTTTTGATGGAAAATTACACAAATAAGACGACACAAAATAAAACAAATCTAGATAACGAAATATAATTGATGTTTATTACAATAATATTAGAGGCGAATTTGTCGAAGCTTATAGCTACATTTGGGATCTAAATAAGATTAAGTAAAAAGTTGTCAAAAACTATTATAAGTAAAACCGAGCACTATGTTTAGGTAGGTATTTTTTGGCTTACGGACTATTAAAAGTTCCTATGCTGCTATTTTTAATTGGATGCAAAATGTATATATAGTTTATCTCACAATTCAAACTATTTTTAGTATATACATATATTAATAGTGCAAGGATGACGCTTTTGTTTTAAAATTATGTATTAATCACAAAAGACAGATAGCCTAAAGATTGTTACAATAAGAACAGAAAAATTTTAGCCCGAATCTTAACTTTAAATAAGAGCAAACCAGAACTGGTCCATAAACTGTTTACTAGTCTTTGTGACACGATGTAGATTTTTTTAATAAGCTATGGAGTTGAAATTCTTAAGCCTACAAAAGCAAGAACCGAATTAAAGCACAATTCTTATCTGTTGTAGCACTTTTTTCCCGGTACCGGGCGCTGTGTAGACTTCTAGACTGAAAACGAGACTTCATAGTTAAGGCTGTACCTACACAGCTTATTTTCCTTCTTTAATATTTTAATAATAAATTTATTATAAAAACATGGGATTAGAACAGAGAGATGAATTTATTTGGATTGAATGAAAGTTTTATGTAGCTCAATGCATGTACATAAATGCAATGCTTTAGAAAATTTATTCCTGCATACATTTACAACGCCACAAACAGAGTTCACAGTTTTCAATCAAAAATTACAACAAATAAATACATATCGTCGTTTAAAGTGGAAAACCGCGTATCAACAAAATGCAAAACCGCGTATCAGCAAAATGCAAAACCGCGTATGTGAACTTGTAGAAATTATTTTCTTTCTTTTCTTTTTTATAAAGAAATCGCATTTCTGGCTAGTATATTTCAGGAAGAATGAATAAGGATTGAGCCAAGAGCTTGTTGAGCAAATCCAATTTTTGGCAGCCAATGTCAGTTACGCGGTTTTGCAGAATGACGATACGCGGTTTTGTACTTTAAACGACGATATGTTAAGCCCGTGGACCTACAGTGATATATGTATGCTTTGTAAATATAGATGCATTCAGTAAACTACCAATCTAAGCTTTTTCAAAAGGCTGCATTTCAAACAAAGCAAATTAAAGGTTTGAACTTAAGTCAACACAGAAAATAAGTATCTACACAATTTTGGTTACCCAAAGCTACAAAAACACCACCCTCACTGAGGGATAATACGACAAAGGCAAACGCAGATTCGCCAATAGCAGTTCGAGGCGTCTAGCGCGTGAGTTGGCAAGCGATGGAGTATAAGCTACAAATCTGACTCGAATGTAAGCTATTTAAATGCCCAACATTTTCACGCCAACTGTGTAGTGACCAAACGAACTATGTTACAGGTGGCCTTCGAATCGAAAGGAATGAAGACAAAGCAAAAGTTAAATTTGCTAAGAATCCCTCAACATTTACCGCCTCACTGCACCAGTTTTGACAGTACTCCCCCAAACCATCACAATCACACTGTCGTCTCCTTCCCAGTGGGTGGTGACATTGCACCGGATAGTAGAACACCAGCAAACTTTGGTCTAGACATCGGTGATGATGTCAAGTACAATTGTGGTTGGGATTGTGAACGCAAATTTAATGGACGCGCGCTGGCTGGCGGTGGAGGAGCCGTGCGCAATTTCAAATGAGTTGGCTTTAGCGGCCGCTTGGGAGGTAATGGTGGTGGTGGGGGTGACGTTGAAGAACGACAATTCACGGAGGTATCGCTACTACGTCGCGAGTCGAAAAATGAGGTGTTGCTGTAGATGGCTTCCTCTTCTATGGTGGAGTAGATTTCTTCGGCCGTCTCGTAATAAGAGGCCGCATTCACGGTGCGCTGCAACGACGAAGTCGACTCTGATTCAACTGACGCCAAAGTGGAGGTGGACAGATCTAATGAGTGTACTGTATTTTGATAATCACCGCTGCTGATGTGAAGAGGGCGTCCGGAAGAGGGAATAGGCACAGCTGAGTTCTGCGCAACTATTTCGGATATTGTAGGAAATTGCATTGAGGTGTACGACGGTGTAGGAGAGGTAATTTTAGCAACTGGTATTTCCATTGACCGTCCGGGTTTTGTTGTGGCACTGGCGGTTTTAATTGTATATGCTGTAGAGTTGCTGTTAGAGGAATGGGATTCGGAAGAAAATATAGCTGTTGATGATACGGGGGAAGTGACTGTTGTGGCTAATGTTGGTTTTGAACTATATCTGCTTGTGAAGGCGTCTGGAGTGGCAGTGGCTTTAGTCGCTGATAAAGTGTTGACAATGTTGTTTGTATGGCTGTCTGTGGCGCTATTCGAAACAAATGGTTCTTGTGTTGGTTGGGTTGTCGATTCACTCACCAGGACTGTACGCTGTTGCAGGTGAATATGTGGTGCCTGTTGCTGCATCTGTTGTTGAGGCTTCATATATAAGCCGGCAGTGACAGCCGCTGTACCACTGCTGGCCAAGAAAATAGGCGTACTAACCAACGATGATGACGACGATGGTGACGCCTGCGACGTTGTTGCAGAGAACTGTGCTTGTGGAAGCAATACAAGGCCGCCTACAGTAAATAGCGATTGGTTCTGTTGGGAATTAGAGACGTTGTTTTTACTCGTAGGGATCAAGTGACCAGTTAGGACTTGAGTGGTATTTGGCTGTTGGGGTTGTGGAAGGCTTGTGTACTGAACTGGAAGTATTTGCGCTGAGGGGAATATTTGTGTGGGGGAGAGTGAACTATTGGATGGAATGCCTGCCTTTATTGCCGCTGTTGATGACAAGAGATCCCACCTGGGCTGCATGGTTGCATTTAAAGAAACAATAGAAGAAATAGGAGAAGCAATGTTAATAGTTGAAGAATCGCTATCGCAATAGGAACTACTTTCACAACCGGAATTCTGAGCCATAAAGGAAAGCAGGTGTTCGGGTGGTGGGGGAAGTGGTAAAGAATCTAAATTGTCATCTGAACTATGAATATATGGATTTACCGAGTGTTTGATGCTTGCATAATGTGGAACTGGCGGCGCATCTTCGTGTGGTGCACCCAACTCTGGGATTTGCGACTTTTTACCCACGTTACGTAACTGATTGCGAATTTCATTCTCATGCAACATGATTGTACGGTGCTCTTCTTCAGTAACCAGAATGTGATCGGGCGAATTTTCATGTATGAACTCCGAGGGGCGGCGCTGTGAAGGTGGTAATTCGTCATCAGGTGGTGGTTGAAGAGGTGGTAAGACCTCTACGTAAAACGCTTCCTCACTACTTTTCACTTTTACACCTGGCGAAGTTGGCTTTGGCATTGTAGCATAATTGATGGGTGGGGGAGGCGGGCTTTCGCGAGGACGCGACGGGCTGCGTGGAGTTTTTATACGCACTGGAAGCTTTGCTATGTTGCCACTAGTTGGTGTTAATGGAACCGTTGGCGTTGTCGGAGGTGGTGGCGATCTCACTTCATGAATTGTGTTTGTGGTGGGATCATGTTCGAAAACCGTAAAATCGCCGTGACCAACATCGGCTTTTTGGAAAGCATCCAGCGCCACATTATGAACTAGCTCAGCTTTTTTCGTTTTTGGCTTCGGCATTATAGGAGGTGGTATCCTCTTTGGTTTGGCACCCGTTGAATTTGATATAAGATCCTCAGTGGATTTTGAATGTGCGCTAACCACAGTACTAGGAGTACTGCGTCCACTTGAAGGTGAACGCTCGGATGACAACAAATTTTCTGTTGACTTCGAGCCAAAGAAGAATTGTTCACGTGGAGATTTAAGAGCTGAAGGTGATTTAGACATGGCTTTAGCCAACTCAGTGTACTCATCAGTCTTAGATTTATCGAGGAATGCTTCACGGAAGGGATTATCTCGTTCGATTTCAGTATACACCGGCACTCTTTCAGGCTGCGGTGGTGGACTTCGATAGCCGCTACTTTTTGATTCCCCACCAGTTAAAGGAGAAGACGAGCGAACGTGTTGAAGTGTGGGCGAGTCTATTTCTTTGATACGCGCCACTGTGGGCAATATCGGAGGCAGTTTTTCGGGGCGCCTGCTGCGCTCTAGTGTCGAATTGTTGGACGACGATGGACTCGCCGAGCGCAATATGCCTTTCCGCGGCATGCGGACACGTGAACTACCATATTCTTGTTCCGAATCGTAATAACGTGAATAACCATCGGGAGTACGTGAGCGTTCGTAGTCGGATTTGGACCGTTCATCCCCACTTAGATCGAAACTTACAGATTTTCGGTGCCCACCGTACGTAGAACTTGTCAGGTCTGGTGTACTACGACCGGAAATGTAGTCTAAACCTTCGCGGCTGGGGCGATAAGGACGGTAGTCATTTTCAGAATCGCTGGTGTAACGTGGTGAAGGTCGTGGCCGCTCAAAGTAGTCCGAATCTGTGTCACCCTGGTCAGCTGAGGTATTCGGAGAAAACGTATCGTTTACATCGTCATAATCATATTCATCTTTAGAATATTCAAACTGATCTTCGCCATGACCCCCCTCGCCCTCGCCCTCTCCTTCGTCTTCATCGTCAATTATATAGACAGGTTCAGCTTTCTTTAATTTAAGTGACAAAAGAGTGCGCTCATCCTCACGCTGAGCTGACTCACTTTTTACGATCTCTTTGTTTTTATAAGAGGAGTCCTGACGTTTCGTTACGGTTCTTGCCCTCTGTATGGGTGGAGTTGGAATACGCCTCTGTTGAAGTTCATTATGAGCATAAAAATTATGTCCATGGAAAATATTTATTTATTTTAGTTTCAGTGTCTAAAATTATGTTTAAGCGATAGAACATTTACTGAAGCGCGTTTATAAAAGTGATATGAATATGTGCTAATTGTGCTTTTGGTGTTTGTGAAACTTAAATAAACGAGTGCTTTGACAATGCTGGGTTTTTCAGGTACATATGTAGCTGGATTACCTTGAAGTGTTTTTTTTTTTCAGGTACATATGTAGCTGGATTACCTTGATGTGTTATGTGAGATAGTGTGAGTGATTTACTTACAATGATATTTAAAAAGTGAAAGACAGTGAAAAGCTCTAATAGTGAGTTTTTAATGGTTATAATTAGCAAACACTTTTGATTAGCACTTTGGAAAACAAAAATAGTTTCTGAATCGCATGTTGCAGAGAGAAGAAGTTGAATTCAAAAGAAAGGACATTTTAAAAAGTTCACAAACAGTAAGGCAGTATGGAGGTCTGATGAAAAATGAGCATTAAAACAATTTCTAACACACACAAAAAAACAAAAAGGAATTTTATGATTTAATTATTCAGACTTAAAAAGCATCAAAAAGATACGCTCAATTACCTAATCAACTTTCCTTTATTCTCCCAAATACAAACTCAGAGTAGAAAAAAAAACTGAAACTCATTTCGATTCCAAAAACACTTTAAAAAATCTCTTATTTTTATATTCGAGAAGATATTGTTTTTATTATTGTTCAATTTCGGTTTTTGATTCACATAAAAAATGTTCATATTCATCAATACTCATTTACCAACAGAATAATACGACTAATTGTAAAACGTATGTATATATAGTGCATATATGCATTACCCTGCCTTAAAGGAAAGGACACCTTTATACAGATTTTTATATTTTCAAAATATTTGGTTAGTTGGACAATTTATATACTTGTACTTATATATGTATGTACTAGAGCTCTTGAACTTATTCGAATAATTCGATTATTCGAACGTTCGAATGGCAAATATTTGTACGATTGCCAATCGAATGTTAATATTCGAATACTGATTCTATTCAATTATTCGAATAGTCGCAAAGCTTCGATTAATTGGATACCTTTTTAAAATCGAACATTCGATCGTTGTAACAAGCGTTAAGGCATCCACACACCTGTGCGATTCTGTTGGAACGAATCCGCGCCATTTTTGTTGGTACAGACTTCACTACTTCGAAAACGCAAATACGGATACATCTATGCGATTCTATCGCAGTATCAATTTATAGTCCAACAACAAATATTTTTCAACAAAAATAAAATTATTACTTTTCTACATCAAACATGTTTTGCTTCTTTTACGTTCATTTATGTTTCAATCTAGTAAAATCCGTCTATTGGAATCTTTCATTTTCAAAACGCGGCAGTCTGCGATTTCGGCACGACTGAAAAAGAATGGTGAATGTTCAAATAAATCGTTGCAGCAAAATCGCGTGTCTGGCTGTTAATTTAAAATTGTGGTCTGCATTGTTGTAATTTCGGCCGGCACGGCACGGCAGAGTCGCACATATGTACATATGTATGTGTGGATGCCTTTATAATTACATATCGTACGTGGTACTGCAAAACGTTCTATGTCACTTATTATCTCTGGTGCTTGATTGATCTTTTATCTGTATCTGATCGCTTACGGCAATAGTTAATCTTCATCAGCCAAAGGTAGACAGTTTTGTAATTCATTTATTAGGGTATAACGATATGCAGATGCATTCCGGTGCAAGTAAGAGACCATCTAATTGCCAAAGGTACTAATAGACATAGACCGTTTTGCAGTATCATCGACGATATGTATGTACTGTTACTCCCAAAATTGAGCGTACCGTACGGCTCTTTTTTGTTAATATTCGCAATGTTTTACATGCTAAAAAAAATTTACATTTTTTATAGGAAAAAAATTGCGTAGGACAGCCAGCAAAAAAATGTAAAAAATCAACGCGAATTTTTAGACATTTGAAATTTACACATTATTAAACTAAAAATGGGCTATAAAACTGCATACCAAGAAAATGTTTTTTTTTTTGGGGTTTTTGTAAATTAATAAAATTAATTGTCCATATATGGTATAAGGGGTATGGAAATATCTCTTTTCCCTAGCAGTAAACCTTTTAGTGTGAGCAACAATGATCTTTTCAAATAAGGCAGATCGGAATATGTGCTCACTGGCAAGACAATACTGTTATTATTGTACCCTGGAGTAGATGTATATCAAACAAAAAAATTACAATTTATAAATTTACTAGCCGACGAACTGCCTACATTTTTTTTTATTTTTCGCACAGGTGCAACCCTCTTCGAAAAATAAAACCTTACTGCAAATCGGAAAGTCAAGCCTTTTCCTTTGACACCTCATTTTTTTAAATCGAATGAACTGTCCAAATCTAACGAACAAAAAAATGCCCTCGCGTATTATACATACATAATTTTTAAAAAGGTGGCAACCCCACTCAAACAAAAAATAAAAACTTATTGCACATGCAGAGACCATACCCTTTCACTTGGTGCCTCAGTTTTCACAAACAAACGGAGATTTTATAATTTTTAAAAAGTGGCAACCCTACTCAAAACGTAATACGTTATTGAACATCTAAAAGCCGAGCCCTTTTATTTGACACCTCATTTTTTGCAATCCAACGAACAATGTGGATCTAACAACTTTTTAGACCTTATAGGAACTTAAGGTAGTAAAGATAATATTCCTATCAATACAGATTATAATTAAAAAATTCCGTATAAATCCGTTCAGTAGCTTTTCAGATTAGCGTGGCCAAAATATCCCGACTTTCCTTTATACTATGTATAGAAGATAGTAATTTTTAAATAGGTGGCAACCCTATTCAAAAACGAAAGCTTTTGAACATGCGAAGGCCAGGTCCTTTCATTTGGTATCTCATTTTGTAATCCAACGAACGGCTAAAATCTTTTAACTTTTTAAGAGGTGGCAACCCTACTCAGAAAAATACTATATTATTGCACGATTGAGAGAAATAGAGGTTGCGCCCATCACAGTACCGCTATTCCTCTCCCAGTGAATTTGACAGAATCGCTGTTTGTATGACGTCACACTTGTGCAACTTGTTTATGTTTTCCTTGCAACATTTTTTCTTCTTCTTCCATTCTTGCTCACGTTTGGGCATTTATCTCTCGCATCACACAAAAGTTATTCTCAAAAATCCTCTCTGATGGGCGCAATCTTGTATTCTATCATTCTTGATATTATTGCTCATGTAAAGGCTAAGTCTTTTCGTTTGACAGTGACGGTGCAGAACTGATGCCTACGCTTATTATGATTGAATATAGTAATTTTATTAACAGGTGGCGACCCTATTCAAAAAAAACATTAGTGCTTTTCTAGAGGCCAACCCCTTTCATTTGACACCTCATCTTTTGCAATCCAACAAACGGTGCGGATCTAATAGTTTTTTAGACAGGTGGCAACCCTATTTAAATTCTAAGCAAAAAAGGTCACTCTCCTGTCGGTACAGAGTATATTAGAGAAAATCTCATCAAAATCCGTTCAGTACTTTTGAAGATTACCGCGTATAAAGAACCTCGACTTTCGACTTTTAGAAAAGGGACTCAAACATAATATCCAGAATTATAATAAGAAAAAGGAAATCGAGCAGACAATTGTAGATGCGGAGATAGCCATATCTATGCTGCCGAAAGAGGAACAGGAACACACTAGACACATGTGCAAACAGTTAATTGAAAAGGAAATCAAAGCCAAAAGAAACAGAAAACAGGGCAACGAAAATAATATAATCAAAGGTCTCAAACAGAAACTAAAAAATAACAACGTAATCACGACCAAAGCTGACAAAGGAAGCACAACTGTACTAATGAATAGAGAGGAGTACATACAAAAAACGAAACAACTTATCAAAGAAACCAATTGTAAGAAATTAGTAAAGAATCCTACTGAGGAATACCAAGCCGCAATAAAAGAGACTATAAAGAAATCTACAAAAATAATAAATGCGAACCAAATACATACTTTGACAACTATGAATCCATCAGCTCCTCCGATGAATGCACTACCTAAAATCCACAAATCAGGCACACCTATGAGACCAATCATAAACCACAAATCGGCCCCAAGCTACAAACTATCAAAATATTTAAAAACTATACAAAAGGATAACCTTGGATTGCCCAATAAGAACACAATATCTAGTACAACGGAATTGATTGAAAAATTAAAAGACTCAGTTATCACGTTGGATACTAAGCTGGTATCATTCGACATAAAAAATCTATACCCATCGATACCCATAACGGAAACAATAGATATCCTATTCAAAATACTGACAGAAAAAACAAGAAACAGAGAAATCGCCGTGGAGATAACTAACGCACTCAGAACGACGTTGCGTCAAAACTACTTTAAATTTAATAACAACGTATACATGCAAACAAACGGGCTAGGCATGGGCAACCCCACATCGGCGATTCTTATGGAGGTATTCATGCAGAAGTTGGAAGAAAGGTACATGGAGTATCTTATGTCACAACTAGGAGCGACGTTCTACGCCAGATACGTTGATGACATCATATGTCTTATAACAAAGGAAAATGAAGAACAGATATTGGAATACCTCAACAAACAGCACAGCAACATAACGTTCACAATGGAACAAGAAATGGAAGGAAAGCTAAATTACTTAGATCTGACGATCAAAGTAAATAAAAACACCAGTAGTCTGCAATATGAAATTTTTAGGAAGCCCACAGCCACAGATACAATAATACATAATACTTCGAACCACCCTCATCAGCATAAAAAAGCCGCCTTTAGACAAATTATCAATAGAATTGAGCAAATACCACTAACAAAAGAAGGATACAAAAACGAACTGAACGCAATATATGCCATAGCGGCTAATAACGGATACAAGAGAGATCTGCTAGAGGAAATCCGAAGGGAGCACAAAAACAGAAGGTCAAACAAAGAAA